AAAGTATTGCGGTGAGAATTAGGGTTATCAATGAGAATTTAAACATCTTGCACTTTTATTTACTGAAATAAAAACTTCCATGTGACATTGCAAGTGGAGAATCATTTTTCAAATGTCTAACAATGTCTGGCAGAGTGTTGAATGATTGAGCATCCATTGAGTAAAACAAGTGTCTGATTTGTCAGGAACAGAAAGTGTCAGCGCGACCAACAGTTGCAGATATTAGTAATAACATAAAGTGTGAAAATGTAGTTGAAAATGGTTCAGAAAGCTCTAATAGTTAAACAATGCCTTATGACGGTCCCAATTTCAGCAAGCTCAATAGTATTCCGTCCTTTCACATGGAGGTAACCAATTTAGTTTAATATCACTCCAGCTACAGTGTTGTCCTAGGATAATGCGGTAAAACTTCTTTGAACTTGCTGTAAGCAAGAGATCAGAGATCTTTAATTTATTGTAGCCGGGTCTTTATCCCTGTGTAACTGTGTTCTTAGGTGAAACCCTTTGTTCTCTATTGTCTCTCCCCATTCACGTCATGGGAGTCTGGTAAATATTCAATGTACTACCCATTGTCTAACTAGTGCATTGTACTTCCACCAAGTGAGTGATCTGGGCTTGTGTCCTTGCTGGGATAAGAGCACAGTGTTGCGCTCTTAGGCAAGACATTTGGAGGCTTGCCCGGGAGTAGAAATAATCCAAGATGCTTCATGCTCTGCCTTAATGGGCCACTAAACTAGCGTGTAATCTTAAATGTCTCTCCCACCCTCCCATATTTTACTCCATCTTAACCTGCGAGGGAGTAGTACCCATTCAGAGAACAGGGGTGTAGCTAGGGAGGTCCTGGGGTACCTGAGTCCCCCCCCCCCCTTTTGTAAGCCTTCTTTAAGCAATCAATTAAATTACAATAGGTGGCGAAAACAAAATGACAATCTGATGAATACCGTCAGTTTGACACAGTGTAATGCAAATGAAAAAGTCAACGGAGAAATCGGCTGGTTATTTGTGCTTAAGGTGGTATGGTACCCTCAATATGGACCAAAAAGTTTGTTTAAATATGGTGAAGAAAGATCAAT